CATATGGTTCAACATTCTTTTTAAAAAAAAAGTTTGGAAATTGACAGACGAACATTTTTTGTAAAAAATTGTTTTCTTAAAAGTTAAAATTAGTGACCTTAAATGTTTAAATTAGTGACATTAAATAAAACAAATGACTTATATATTCTCCTCACTAGCCATATGTTATTGGTAGAATTAAAAAAAAAATGTATGACATTTTTTGTTCGTTTACTGATATTAGAGTATAATTAGTCTGAATTTACGTCCGTGATGCATGTATAAACATGCAGTAAGCTCACTAACAATGTCGTGATATCTGTAATTGTTTTTTAAGATCAGTATAGCATTAAGGTGTCTTGAATGGCAAGAAATTTAATGTAATAATGAATTTTAAAAACATCGGTGGTCATTTATCAGATGTAATTTGGTACGATACCGTGTTAATTCCTGCTGATATTTTCAGGGTTGATCTTGTGAAAACGGCTTAACAGGAGACAATTTATTAATTTTTTCCTTTCAAAATAATTGCAAAAAGATGATTTTATGATTATATTAACGGCATAAAATAACAGCGAACACCGACTACTTGCAGCAAACAAGTGCGACAGTTACGGATACTCGTAATTTTCTGAAAAAAAAAAATGTGTAGGAGGTCAGTCGGGTATAACCGGAAACAAACAAATTTTCTTTAGCCTAATGATGTATGTATGTAAATATTCATGAAGATTAATCTTACAGTTGTAATACTGGTAATGCTGTAATGTTTTCAATATATTACTGCTCAAATAAAAAAGTTAAAATTTGAATGCGTTTAAAGAAAAGGGTTTGAAAATACGGTATTACTTCGATAACCCTGAATGCAATTAAAATAACTTTCTCCTTTCTAATAAATAATTTCGAACAAAAATCCTTATGATGGTTAAGATCTTGTGTTTGTTTGTTTGTATGTTGTTTAACGTCCCTCTCGAGAATTTTTTCACTCATATGGAGACACTACCACTTGCCGGTTGAGAGCTCCAAAGTTTGTCCTATACTCGGCACTTACGGCCATTGAGCAGTGAGGGATCTTTTTCATGCAAGCACCTATTGCGACACGGGACCTCGGTTTATACGGTCTCAACGGAAGGACCGGTCTCCACGTCCCACAGTGGGATTCGAACCCGCGACGTAAGGATTAACTTGTTACTTCGCGACTCTAGAGCAGACGCTCTTACCACTCCACGCGAGCGACTAAGATCTTGTGTAAAGGTGATGTAAATGAAGTTCAAAACTATTTGTTTTCTTTCATAATATGAAATAAACAATGCGATTCCATTTGGTTAATATTTTAATTTAATAGTATTAATTTAAATGACTGGGATAAAGATTTATATTCTGTGAAGCATGGAATATAAATAAATAAAAATGTAAACTTTAAGATAGAAATTTCATGTGAATATGTTTATGTATAATATATAAATTATTTATACCCATTTAACAATCAATTTAGCGTCGAAAATTTTTGTGCTTACAAATTCAGATCAAATTTTTGGTGAAAAGTCAATGGTATGTTTTGAATGTGAAAATTTTGTTCGAGACTTCTCACCTTGGATTCATCTCGCATGTGCTCCCAAAGCGCTTTACAGTATATTGAGCGTGCGCGCGCATTCCAAACAAAAAAAATGGTCTTAAAACACATGCAAGCTCTCAAGGGTGCTGGGAAATAAAAATCGTTTATGTTAATATATAATTAAAAGAAAACAACATATAAAAATGTTCATTAGTCTTTATCTAAGTACAACACATTATAATTTTTCAGAAAAAGTTGGTTAGTTTCCTGTTCAGAATGAAGAGCCATCTATGTACGAGCCATAAAGACCTGAATACATCATGATTTTATCAGGCAATAACCATTATGGCCGAACCTGGAACTAGAACTAGACTCATATTCATGTCATAAAGATTAGATAATTATAATTTTCGTGCAGCTGGTTTCCTAGAGGACCAAAAATAAAGAATATTTCTTTTCTGATTAATACAGGCATGTAGTATCATTATCAGAAAAAAGGAGAATTGTCCAAACCCGAAAATCCTATTGGAGAAGGAGTAGGGGTGGGCTACAACTTACTTTCACATTTCGAATTTCATTAATTCATTACCAAATTACCATACTTTTAATATGCTACAATAAAATGATGGGTACAATCTAATTAAAATTAGACTATCCATTTTGCTTTTAGTAAATCTGTTCGTCGCTCGAGATAAATACCTGGTTTATATTACGAAGAGTGAGTTGAAAGTTCCAATTTAAATTTGATTGCGAAGAGTCAATCAACCTTTCAATGTACATTGTCCATTGTAAAAGTTTATGTTTGAAAAATGGTGACACCCCTAGCTCCTCCGATACTATATATGTGCCTGTATGAATCAGCAAAACCACTCAAAGTGCACTGTTACCATGCATAACCATTGTGAGCTTAATGTTTAGAAAGGTATAAATGTATTTTCATTAAAAATATCACCAAGTCCTATCCTGGGGTCTTAACGTTGGGTTCTGGACCGTAAATTTTAATTATTGGTAGATGGGTTATTGTTAATCATAATCATACAAACTCTACCTGTTAAATATCAATGGTCAGAAAGAAAGATTTTTCAAATATGTACTAATTTAGGATTGGACAATACACTCGAACATATTAAAGCCCGGCTTTCAGTACTTTCAGTACTTTGATTCATTAATACACAACAAAATTGCCACTTTTCTTCAGTATTAAGAATTTTGCCGGGGACCTTCGCTATATACGTGAATTCGCTATATCTGTGTTCGCACTAAACGAGCTCTACTAGAGATTAACAATAGATGTATTAAAATTGTATTTAAAATAAACATTTCACTCTTACTGAGAATGGCTCCATACTTTTAGTAAATAGTCAAGTGGCCACTGGCGTCTTTCCAGGCTGCTCATTGCCTGGAAATTTCCCTGAATGAGATCAAAACTGGTCAGGCAGAGTAATGCGCGGCACATTACCCACAAAACTAAGGATATCGGTAAAAATTTTGGATTTTCTTTTACTGAAAATGGAAACGCATATATAGAGGATATCAATGTTTTGTAGATGAATATGGAAATTATTTCATGAGTGGGACAAAAAAATCCCAATTAGTCTATTTATCTTACATGTCACTTCATTGATCTGAATGGTCGTCCATTGGTTTGTTTGAACTCCATTGATCTGAATGGTTGTCAATGGGTTTCTTTGAACTCCATTGATCTGAATGGTCGTCCATGGGTTTCTTTGAACTCTATTGATCTGAATGGTTGTCCATGGGTTTCTTTGAACTCCCTCGCAGTTCACATTGGAGGGGAGGACAACGAATCTCTGATATCGACAGCCCTCGAAGTCTATTGATGATGGCGATGGTTGTAGTCTGGTAGTTGCCCTCTTCAAACTCCTCAAAGTTCCTACACTGGATTGTCCCTGCGTTAATCTTACATTGTGCATTGGCGTGCGCCAGCAAAACAAGATCTAATACGAGCATCGTCTATCTGATTTCCACAAGTTCCAAAGATAAAAGTCGAAAACATCTGCTCATCCCTTTTATAATAAAAGATAACACGTTCAAATAAGGGGTGGAATGGATTATTGATGGAAAGACAAATTACGATATTATCATTGACTGATTGATTGTCTATTGTTTAACGCCGAGTCGGCAATATTTCAGCCATGTTTCGGCGGATAACTAAGTTTAAATATAAGGTTAATGAGAGGTTTTTGGTTTCTCTGGCGGCCCCCAGTGAGCCTACTCTTTTGTTGGATAGAAAAATATATTATCATTATTATCTTTGATTCTAATTAATTAAATATTGATGACAGCGGTTTTGACATCGGTTTTCATACCACATACATCAAATATAGAACTTGTATCTTAAAAATTGTCCAAAACCTTGAAAGGAATACTTAACACCCCCAATTATTAAAATGGCACTTATCCCTGATCATTGGAAGTGTCTATGTAGGTATAGTGTTGAAGGGTTTAAAAAGTTCATATTGTAGACAAAAAAGTCAGGGTCCACGCAATGATGAAATTAATAGTAGTTTAAATATTTTAATTGAATAGAGGTAAAAGGTATTCTTTCGTAAAATTCAATCCTGTCACCTCTTTCTAAAAGTAGTCACCCTGGCGCTAGCGCCGTCTTTGATGCTAGCCGAAAACTGTCCCTCTTCTAACGGGCCAGCTGTACGTGTCTGGATGTTATGTCATGTGTATATATGTCTGCTTTATAGGTTTGATGGGGTGACCATACAGAGCACATTTTAGGGGAATTAGAACTGAAGATTACAACTAAATGCTCATAATAATTTTAACTTTTATTTATCCATTAATAGTAAATAATGACATTATTTATAATTGAAATTGTTTTGTTTTACTTATTTAATTGGTATCATTATCTGGCTGTCGAGCATTTACGTCGGTCATTCTTCAAACCGTACTATGTCCAAATAAAACCTTATTGATTAATTCAACGTAATAAGGTTTTATTTGGACGATAAACGCATTTAGATAGAATGCTAAGAAGACCCCCCTCCCATTCATGAGTTGTGTGCAAAAAAGTAAATTAAACCTATTTTAACATCCAATAGACTGAGAAGTAAAATAGATTTTAAAATCATATATTTCAAAAACAGTGGTTGTGTGACGTTTATATCATATACCTAACACCAAAGCCATTGAGAGGGCAAATATTAAGATATTTAATTTCTTTTTACACATTATGGCAGCTAGAATAAATTCAAAACACACAAGTTATAAATACTCCAGTTATACTTGTATAAATTGGGTTGGAACAATTTATGCATTTTTATACACTGCTTTACGGTTTAAAAACTGTACACTGTCCCAAGAACAGTATTTATTGGGAAGTATTAAATTCATTCCTTAAATATTAAGGCCCTCTATTGTCTAGTTTTCTCCACTTCATAGTAACATAAAAGTACCTACAATTCTACATCATGTAATAATAAATGTGTATTGCACATTAATGCCCATACTTGACTATCCTGATGTTGTGTATAGTTTTAGGCTCTGTCTTTCTCTTTGCTTGTGTGTTCCATTGACACAATTTTTCTGTAGGAGTCCTGTTCTCTGATAAATCTTTAAGTCCCTTAGCAACAAAGTCATCCAGTGCGAACAACAATGCTGCTATATTGCTGCATGCCTTACCCTTCCTACAATTTATATTTAAAAAATAGCTTGCATTGTCATGTAGCACTTTCAAATGGCGCTTTCTAAAACCAAATTATACATTACCACAGCATGGGCAAAAATTAGTGTAGGTTGGTAGGTACATATTTATTTTTCCCCATCTTCAGAGTACACAATCTCTTAGTATTTCTGTTGCATATGTATACAATTTATAACATACTCATTACTAAACCTGGAAGGTTTCATTCATTTAGAAAATATAATGAGCAATTATATTTTTACTCTAAATGTTTATAGGAAAATTGGGAATATAACCACTTAGATCCATAAAATATTAGTAATTTGGCACCATCTCTAAAAAACCAGCGGGGGTTATTTGTCCCTTTTGGACAGTTCTAGTTTGAATTTGGAATTCTGAAGATTTGAACATTACTAATATGTCCATCCGTAAAAGCTTGTAACCGTTGTCTTGCCTGTAATTTTTATGTCCCCGTAATCGAAGATTCGGGGGCATATCGTTTTCGCCCTGTCCGTCCATCTGTCTGTTTGTCCGCAAAAGTTTTAACCTTGCCCATAACTTTTGATTGGTTGGATCTATGAATTTCGTATTTCACATGTGTATTTCTTTGCAAAAAGACCTTTCTTTGGGTACCATAAAATTTGACCTTGGAGTTTGATCCACTTTTGCAATATTTTTTCAGACTTTAACCTTGGCCATAACTTTTGAATAGTTATTGTCAGGGATTTCAAACTTCACAGGTGCATACCTTGTGAAAAGACCTTTCTTTAGATATCAGCAACTTTGACCTTGACCTTGGAATTTGACCTACTTTTGAGAAAACGTTAATCTTAGCAATAACTTTTAAACCGTTGATGCAAGAGCTTTCATATTTCACATGTGTATACCTTGGGACAAGAGCATTCTTTGGATACCAAAAACCTTGACCTTGGAGTTTGACCTACTTTTGCAAAACTTTAACCTTTGCCATAACTTTTGAACGGTTGGTGCTAGGGCTTTCATACTTCACATATGTAATCGTTGTGACAAGACCTTCCTTTGGATACAAGCAACTTTGACCCTTTCACCTTCGAGTTTGACCTACTTTTGAAAGACTTTAACTTTGGTCATAACTTTTGAACGGTTGGTGCCAGGGCTTTCATATTTCAAATGTGTATTTCTTGTTAGAAGGCCTTTTCTTGGGAACCATTAATTTTGACCAGTCAAACTTGATGTTTGACTTACTAGTAGTAAGGGGGATAACGTGCAGTCAGTATACAGTCAAGATGACGTCATGGGGTTTTCCAGACCCCACCCACATAGGTCATAATTGAGGTCACAATCAAGGGGGCAGTACACAGTCAAGGGGGTAGTACACAGTCAAGGGGGGCAGTACACAGTCATGGGGGTAGTACACAGTCATGGGGGTAGTACACAGTCAAGGGGACAGTACACAGTCATGGGGGTAGTACACAGTCAAGAGGGTAGTAGTTCATAACTTTTCACCCAGTAACAGCTAATTTTATTTTTGGAATATATTAACTACCATACACCTAACAACAGTCAGCAGTTCAGACTAAATTTACCATCTGCAGTCTGTTGGTGATCCAAGAGCTATAGGTATACCTAGAGACAGTGTAAAATGAACACCAATTTTAAGATGATAGATTGGTTCAAACGCAACAGCTGTATCCACAGTAACAGTATAAGGGTATAACTAAATTTAGAATTGCCATCTGTATCCACAGTAACAGTATAAGGGTATAACTAAATTTAGAATTGCCATCTGTATCCACAGTAACAGTATAAGGGTATAACTAAATTTAGAATTGCCATCTGTATCCACAGTAACAGTATAAGGGTATAACTAAATTTAGATTTACCAACCGTAACTAAGAATCCTTCTCAATAGGGTCACACCCTATACAAAGTATAAAAAGTCCAAAATCTGTTAGTATTTGTACAGTCACTTCTTTCGTCAGAAGAACAACCATTCAACAACCTTATGTAGTAAGTAAATTGTAGATATTGGTAGTTGTAAGCTTTTTTTCTTACAGATTTAATAAAACAACACCATATTTATGATTTATTATGTATTATACATCTTCATCTTATACAACAAAATATAAAAGTGTTAATTCTCAGTAAAAAATTTTGTATGTTATGATATGTAAATTGAACACACGTGGATATTTTGAACACAGTCTCTAATAATCTACCCATAAGTAAAACTGATACACAGGTCCTTGGAAAACAATTTACAAGGTCATAAATGTTACTCTTTTCTGGTGCGACTTCTGCAACTGATTCTCCAAATAATTCATGATAATTTTTA